GCCAAGGGAAGCCTGTGTGTGGTCTATGCTGTACTAGGAAAATAAGCCCCAGTTGGGTTTCTTTGCTTAAAAGTTACCCCATTTCCACATATGTGAGAGCATCATGACCAAGAACAACAATTAAACAAAACTTTTTTTGTTTTTTGGAGACAAGGTCTCAAGTAGCCCAGAATGGCCTCCAACTAACTATGTTGTTGAGGATGACCTTGAATGTCTGTCTGCTCCTCTTGTTCTCACCTTCCAAGAGCTGGGATTACAGGCAGGTACCACTTCGCTGGATTTATACAGTGCTAAGGATGAAACCTAGGGTTTCCCTGCATGCTAAGTAAGAGCACTACCCACTAAGCTTTATTTCCAGTTCCAGTTTTCTTGGTAAAATATTACTTTGGGAGTAGGACGGACATGGGAGTAGGGGAGGTATCAGAGATCTTATTTGTTATATTATTAATTAAAGATTATTAAAACTTTAAAATTAATAAATGTAGCAATAAAAACAATGGCAACAACAAAAAAATGTAATCAGTATAGATTGGTAAGAGCCTGAGCGTGGTGGTACACACCTTAATGCCCACCATGGGAAGCAGAAGCAAGCAGACAGGCAGATCTTGATGAGTTGTTGGCCAGTCTGGTCAACATAGCTCTATGAGTTCAAGGCCAACCTTATCAACATAGCTCTAAGCCAGCCAGAGCTACACTGGAAGGCCTTGTCTCAAATGAACAACAACAACAATACACTGTAAAAAATTCTCAAAGAACAAATAAAATTTGAGAAAAAATAATTACTTCAGAAGTTTTTTTAAATATTATCTCTGGTTAAAATAAAAATACTGCCTCTGGCCCCATTAAACCTGAATAAGAACTTTCCTCTATAAATAAAAAAGGTTTGATACCAGAGAACAGCTGCCAATGGGGCAAAACTGGTATCATCTATTACTTAATAGTTGTCTGCTCATTTTATGATGGCCTTACATTACTCTGGTGTGAATGAGTAATATGTTTGGATAAGGGGAGTTAAAAATATGTGGTTTGGGGGACCTTTTAGAATTTATTGCTTCCATCCAGTCTGTTCTAGGAAGTGTCCTTAGGATGAGAGCTCAGTCCTGGGTTCCCTTGGAGCCCTCTGGGTCTTTTGCAGGACTCAAGCTACCTGAGCCAGAGCACAGCTTTCCTCTTTCCCAAGGTGAGTCTTGATCCAAGTAAACAAAGTGTAGCTAACATGTACTGAGAGCAGTCCTTCAATCCACTCAAGAACACGGTGGGGCTGTGTCACCCCAGCTCCTACACTGCAACACCAAGGATCATCCTCAGGCCGAATAAGAGAGAGTTACAAGATTAGAGATTCCTTCTGACCAGCCATCTCATGGCTCACACAGCAAAAAAGAAGTGGGCAGGTGGAGAGATCGTGAATTTAAATCTTGACATTAACAGTGACTAAATGAGGAGTATCGCTTCACACGGTGAGAGTGCTGCGGGTGTTAGAGAAAAGGGGAAACCAAAGAAAATGCAGACAAAGTGCGCAGAAATATGACTGTTGCCGCATTGTTCTCCTTATAGCAATTCTTTTCCAGTGTGGGATTGGTGTAATTGCTTAATTTGGGTGATAAGGGGGCCAAGTGCTGCCTCTTCCTTGTTCCTAATGACAAATGAAGCGACATCCCACATCCAAGACGCTGGGTTCACCGCCCACTTAATTCCCCACCTGATTTCTCCCTTCCCAGGAGTCTTCCAGGTTCTCTGCTGCTAACATGAAATACGTTCCTGTGGCTGAGGATGCTCCGAGTGGGGGTCTCATCAGATCCTTTCCAAATTTAAGTCTGTCTCCTGCATTTCAGAAAGGCTCTGCTTTCCCAGCCCTTTCACAGATACTCTTACATTAATTAGTAAGGGTATCATTTTATAAATTATAGCTTCATATCAGAAGAAAGCAGAGTTTATCTTAATTCAGTCAGCCGTGTGAAATACCATACCCTAATTTTAGACTGCTGGTTCTACGGATCCCCATGGAGTAAGAATGACAGGAGAGAATTCCCAGCAGGTCCCTCCTGCAAGTCTCACTTCTGGCTACAAGAGCATCCCCAGTGGGACTTGCTGAAGGGATCCCATGATGCTGAGTGGCATCTACTCTACAATTAGCAATTCATATTTGTATTCGAATCCTTCAAGCGGTGCCAGCAAGCACCCTAGTGGGCTCAAGAGCTCTGGGGAGAGGCCCTGCCACAGAGCAGGCTGACAGGGACCCTGCAAAGCTGGGAGGATGGTGTTCAGGTTGGCGATAAACACTATCCTGTCTCAGCTGGAAAAAGAGAAGGCTGGCAGACTTAACTACACAAGGGCCAGGCAGGCACTGGTGCAATTAGAGGCTCGTGGGTTCCTGCCGGGAATCCCTGGAGAAACACCCATGTCATGGCAGGAATAGCACACAGGGTGCAGCTCCTAGTAACAAAGGCCTTCGTGATTTTCAAGGTGCAAACCAATTACAATCCAGTGCCAAGGCAGGGGGTACACCAGGCATAAAAAGGATGTGTCTAGTGCCTCTTGCCCTCCCACTGACTTCTCACTCTTGGACCTGTCTGTGTTTATTCTCCTCCCAGCCTGATACTCACCTTCCACCACCATTCATTCTCTGTAGCTCTTTGCTGCTGCTTCCAACCACCTTGGCCAGCCCCCTCCAATGCTTCTAATACCCACAACCATTACATTCTAGAACTACCAGAGTCTGATGATCTTCTAGAAGAGTGGTTGTTGTCTGCTGAGACTCTGAGATAAGGGACCAGGAATAGAGATCAGGTCTGGCGTAGTTCATTGGGGGATTCTGAGGTATAATTGATTGAGATACTTAGAAGGAATGACAATCAGGAATTTTTACTACCTTCTCCTATTACTGCAGACAGATGTGTCAATATGGAATCCTATCTATCTATCTATCTATCTATCTATCTATCTATCTATCTATCCATCCATCTATCTATCTATCTACATCTATCTATCTATCTATCTATCTATCTGAAATGGCACCTTCCTGTGTAGCACATGCTGGCCTAGAACTTGCAATTCTGTTGCTTCTGCCTCTAAAATGCTGGCATGACGGGTATACACCATCAGGCTTTTGAAATAAAGATGCTTGGGCTAGGGGGAGAGTTTTCTTGGAAGTGGTAGTTGTCCAAACACAAGCTCAATGTTCAGAACTGACAGGCTTCTTTATAATCCTAGTGCCAGGGAGGCAGGGTCAGGTGAGCCCCTGCAGTTTGCTACTTAGCAAAACTCCAGGCCACCAAAAGAATATCTCAAAAATCATGTAGATAGCACTTGGTAATGATACCCAAGTTTGTTCTCTGGCCTCTGCATATACCTGCCCATGCAGAAAGATGCACACACACAAGTGTGGACAGCAAAACCTTGAATGAAACTCACCCTCTTGGAGAAGAAAGGTCAACTGCTGCTTGCCTGTAGAGATCTCAAAATGGTCAAAAAGTTTCAGCATCTTCCCGAATGCCAGAGACATCCCACAAAATTATGGTGACTTTTGCCATATGCCCATGTGACCTTGGGGCTAGTTTGGGTACTGAGTGGACTCTTTATGCTGTCACCCACTCTGACACATGTTGGCTGTCCAAGACACACAAGGTCCTACTTCCAAGGAGCTAAGATTCTCTCCTGGGAGTTGAAGGCAGAAAGCTCTGACTTGTCAGTTAAACAAAAGAACAGCCCTCAACCCCCTACCCAGTGTGTACTTCCACTGTCATCCAACAGCCCATTACCATGTCACAGCACGGCGCACCCTTCCATAGGTCACTTTGTTTAAAATGACATGGATAATGCACATGTCAGCAAGCTGACAGTCCTGGCCGTCCTTCAGAGATAAAAACCTCCAGGCGAGAGCCTGTTCTTATCTGGGGGACACGGGCTGGTCTATCATCCAAGTCAGGCGGAGCGTGATTTCTCCAGAGAGCACTTTTTTCATTTCCTGATTTTAAGGAAATCAAATAAGCACCATTTGTCTTCATCTGAATATGCTTGACCTGCTCAGATGATGGTGTCTCGGGTTTTATAACCGGCTACATATGCTGAATTCAAATTAATGACAGTGGCGAACAGGAGCCTTCAGATCTCTCCTGGAGGATGCTGTGGAGGCGGAGGGAGGAAGTCCAAGATGGATGGGGAAGGATTCTGGGGAGGATCAGCCAGCCCATGGGAGGTGAAAATCAAGGAACAGGACACAGGGGAAGGGAGGGCTGACCAGTTGCTTTGGTCACATGCAGTACACAAACTCTGAGATTCAGGTATGTTTTCAAGTTACACAAGGCGTCAGTGAAAATGGAAAGACAGGTGGTTGGTAGATGTCAGCAGCTAGGAAGGAAAAAGTATACCCACAAACCTCTTGCTTTAGTCAACAGAAAACCTACTTTACTTGTTCCGGTTTCGATCTTCTGGAGGCTCAGAGCCTGGATTCCTTCTTCATCCATGTTGAGATGTGTACATTGAGGCTGGACCTCAGCCCCCAGGTAGAGCATATACCTGCTGAGGAGATGCCCCCTCCCTAACACCCACCCACAGAAGACAGCAGAGTTCCCCTGACCACCCTGTCCATCCTGCCCTGTCGGCACAGCACTGACATTTCTATTAGAAAGCTATAGAAAAGCAAGAGGAAACCCAGAGGTCAGTCAAAGGGAGGTAGAAATGACATTATAAATGCACAGGAGGAAGTGGAATGTTTTCATCATGAACCGAAAGGAAAAGAAAAATCAATTCCTCTTTAAAAATATTTTGGGGTCTACGAGTCATCATCCATGAAGTGAAAACTTGGTGTGACAAAAATAAGACGTGAAGGGGCATGATTCAAAGAGGTGGATGTCACAGGTTGGCAGAGTATATCTTAGCATTGAAATGTCACAGTGTGGACAATGAGACATCCCTCAGCAGGGAGCAGGTGCCAGGAGGAGTGCCACAGTGCACACAGAACCTCTAGTATTGTGTTTGCAATGGAGGGGGTGGTGTCTTACCTTCTCTTCCTGGTCGCTGTCACTGTCGCACTAAAAATGAAGACAAGAAAATAAAGGTCAGTGTGGTGATTATGCAATTTGCTTCAGAAACTCCGCCTTCCCGGCGGGCAGGGTAAATGCAGGAAAGGAGATGTCTCTGGGCTAGAGAGCGTTCTACAGCTCCAGTGATAAACAAGAACAAATTGCTGGATAACAAAGCATTTGTTCTGTCAGTTCCCTCCCATCAGTCCCCTTGGCTCAGGAAGAGACTCCACCATTACAGAAAACTCTGAAGGACAAGAGGACACTCAGCTGGGGGCTAACCCTGCCACAGAGTGAAGGGGACTCAAGATCCTTCCGTCTGAGGGTTCTGGAACAAAATGACTTCTGCAGAAGAATATGTTCTGCCTTCAGCTTTGGGGAATGGCTGTCTTTCTCCTGAATCTTTTCTCAAGCAAAAAAACAAAACAAAAAAAAAAACAAGCTTTGTTCATTTCAATCTCTCAGGACTTTGGGGAGGCAAGGCTCAAGACTTGTGACATTGTAACAGTTAATACTGACTGCCGTTTAACAGGATTTGGGGGGGAGGGGTTGAGACACGGTTTCTCTGTGTAGCCTTGTCTGTCCTGGATGCTCTTTGTAGACCAGGCTGGCCTTGAACTCACAGCAATCCACCTGCATCTGCCTCCCTGAGTGCTGAGATTACAGCTTTGACAGGATCTTGAGTCACCTTTGTGGCATGTCAGCAAGGAAGTTCCTAGCCTGGATTAACTGGGGAGGGAAGAACCTCTCTAACTGTGGTAGCACACCATCCCATGGACTAAGGCCCGGTATGAAATGAAATGGAGAGAGTGAGCTGAGCACTCAAATCTCTCTGCTGCTTCCTGATTGTGTACGCAATGTGACTGTGACGGTTTAGACAAGAACAGACCCCTCAGGCTTACATAGGTGGATGCTTCATCACCAGGGAGTGGCACTATTTAAAAGGATTAGAAATATTAGGGGGTATGGCAGTGTTGGAGGAAGTATGTCAATGGAGGTAGGTTTTGAGGTTTCAAAAGCTCATGCTAAGCCCAGTCTCTCTCTCCCTCCCACCCTTTTTTTCTCTCTGCCTGTGGATCAGGATATAGAATTCTCAGTTACTTCTTCAACACCATTTCTGCCTAAGTAAGTGCTGTCATACTCCCACCATGATATTAGTGAACTAACCTCTGAAACGGCATTAATCCGCAATTAATGCTTTCTTTTATAGGAATTGCCTTGGCTATGGTGGCTCATCATCATAGCAATAGAACAGTGACTAAGATAGTGACCTACCATCTCATACTCCTACTGCTATCCTTTTCCACCAGGATGGACTATACGCCCTTGAACTGTGAGCCAAAATAAGTTCTTCCATAAGTTGCTATTGACAAATAGTCACAGCAGTGAGAGAAATGACTAATACTGATGCCGAAGAGTAGACGGAAAACTCCCCACAGATGATGTACCGTGAACAATAAGTACTGTGATACGCCAAATCCCAACTGTTGCTCTAGGTTTGGGCGAACCAAAGAAAGAGAATTATCTCACAGTTTCAGGTTCTTCTAAAAACCAAGAGTGTTTTCTTAATAAGAAATGGGTTAAACAATGGGGTTGGTGAGCTAACTCAGTTGGTAAAATGCTTGTACAAGGATTTTAATTTGGCTTGGTTTTCAGGACCTGTGTTTAAAAAAAAAATGGAGGCATACATCTGTAGCTTTAGTGCTGGGGTAAAGGAAACAGAAGGGTCCCTGGGGCTTATCGGCCAAACTGCATAGCCTATTTTAGGAGCCCCAGGTCCCAGGGAAAGACTGTCAATTAAAACAAAAAAACAAGCAAACAAAAAACAAAAGAATGTGGATGGGGCCTGAGGAAAATCTCTCAAGGCTGAACTCTGGTCTCTGCAACACATGTGAGTGTAGATGTACAAATACATAATAAGGGGTGTGTTTTGTTAAGAGTAAATGCTGAGAAGGTATGATTGCATGGAAAGGCCCTACTGTTCTGGACAGGAGTCAACCACACCAAGACATAGGGCAGAGCCTCAGGCTGCTCTGTGGTTCACCCAACCAATGTGGCGTGCAGATGGGCTTACTTTGATGAGTGGTGGAGAGAGAGTACCACTAGGAAGAGAGATGGTCACAGGGGGAGAAGCTTTGCAACTAGGACACTGTCTATGCCAGCATGTGCCTGGTTTGGGACTGCGTGAAAGAGATGGCTTAGCAGCTCGGCAGTGAAAGTTGACAGTCTTCGTAATGCATGGCTAAGGAGAGCAAGCTGCAGGTGAGTCTAGGTGGGTGCCAAGATTTTTACTGTGGCCACCTGTATATGGGAGCAGAAGGTGCCACCAAAAGAAACAGGAAATGAGCCAGAGCTGCCTCCACAAGACAGATACCCACAATTCCCTTCTCCTTAAGTGCATATCTTCTCGAGTTCAAAAAGGCAATACTCTCTTTTCCCACTCTTTTTTTTTCTTACATTTTTTAGGTAGCTATGAGAACCATTCTGGCCAAATGAGATTTGAAGTCTGCAGAGGTTCTGGGGTAGGGAAGAGGGAGGAGAGAATGAAACTTGGGCCTACAAGATGGCTCAGGGGGTAAAAGCCCTTGCCACACAAGCCTGATGACCTGAGCCAATCACTAGATACCAGGATAGAAAGAGAGAACTGATTCCTGAGTTTTCTTCTGACCTCCAGACGTGCTCTATAGCACAAGCATGCATGCTGGCATAACACACACACACCATATATATACAAACATACAATAATAATACAGATTTTTTTTAAAGAGTCTCAGTGTCAGGCAGGTAGCTCCTGCCTCTTCAAGTATGAGTAGTCAAGGATGGGATGTGTGTATCAACAGTAGCCATTTTGCAAAAGTGGGGTTTAAACAACCCTAAAAGCCTCAGTGCCAAACAAGATGGAAAGGCCAAAGGAAGTGAAGACTAACATCACTGAGCCACTGAACCCAGGTAAGAATGGACTCCTGTTTTTGTTAAGAAAACTAGTTATTATTGTCCAAGCTAACCTCAGCGTGCTACCAAGAGATGGTAATAAAATCTCCATCCAAAGGACATGTGTGGAAATCACTGCCTCTTTCGACCATAAGCATTTAAGAGCTTACAGTGACAGGTTTTTTTGGTCTTTGTTTTTGAGTTAAAGTTTCATGTATTCCAGGCTGGCCTCGAACCTGCTTCTTGGCCAAGGATGGCCTTGAATTCCTGATCCTTCCACTTCTACTTCCCAAACACTGGAGTGACAGTTGTGAGGGCTACTTCTCCCCCTGCCTACCTGGTGATACAGGTTTATCAGACTCTGAGTGACTGACTGATAGCAACTTTTTTTTTTTTTTGTCAAGTCCAAGGGTATCATTTCCAACCAGACTTCCACCCATGGTCTGTCTGCATTTGCATCCTTTTGTCCAATTAATGACTGGCTTCTCTATTATGTGAGACGAGTTGAGTTGGGGAGGAAAGTGGGTGAAATGAAGAGGGTCTAGAGCCACAGATGGATGTGGGGGACTGCATTCTCTGGGGGAGGGTGTCATCTCTCTATTGCTTTTTTACAGTATGTGGTACTAAAGTCTCAAGCCCATTTTCAAGGCTGACAGAGCCTGCTTGAGGAAGGGTGGGATGGAAAGGAGTCTTTTTGTTTGTTTCTTTTCTTCTTTTTCTTTGAATTGCTGGGGGATGTGAACCCAGGGCCCTGTGTATGATAGGAAATTCTCTACCACTGAGCTACATTCCGCAGCCCAGAGTGGTGCCTTCTGTCATGCCTGCTCTTTCCCAGATGTTCACAGTTATCCATATGAGGTAATGACAGTGAAGGCTAGAGCGACACGTTTCCCTCCATCCTCCAGGGTCTATGCTCAGGAGAAGATGCCGGGAAAGTGGGGAAAGCTCCCTCTCCCATCCCCATCCAAACAGCGGTAAGTCTCTGGAATGGTTATTCCTATCAAAGCATTAAGCTTCCCCGCTTTTGGAGAGTCCAGTTCTAATTTCAAGGTCCACTTAATTCCGCATCAAGTAATTACTGATATACCCAGAAGCACCTTGCCTCCAGAGTTAAGCATATGGTGAAGAACTGAGACCTACTGGTATCCATTATGGAAGCCACACGGATGCCAAGCTGATTACAAATGCTGGGGCTCCCCACGCGCCACACTCGTGAGTGACAGGCCCCTCACAAGGCCAGCCAGAGTCTGCCAAAACACTGTCTACAGCACCAGGGGCCCACATGGCGCACTGAGAAAACAGTTCCATTTCTGGTATTAAATTCCCATACTGACCCAAGGACTTTGCCGTGAGCTCAGCAGGAGCTCACCATCCAATTTACAGCTCTGCTCTCTGGAGCCTCCAGTGCCAGCCCCTGGCAGAGAGCGATGGCGGTCAACCCCTCCAGCTCATAAATTATGCAAAGGCAATAAATGCGTTCAGCAAACAGCGCCTGACGCTTGCCCAGCCTGGCTCCTCACACATTCTGCAGAAAAAAGAGAGAGAGAAAAGCCAGAAGCTAGATGCATATAAGAGGTCTATTCCACTCATAAAGGGGGTTTGTTGACAGCCCCAGACGGAAAGCGAGCTGGGGTCCTGAGCGGTCTTTCTGCCTCACTGGCAGTGGTTTATAGGCATGCTTTATGAAAAAGGGAGGCTGTTTTATGGAGTCCGGGTGGGGAGAAGTCATGGTCTCGAATTCACATTTAATACACTGCCCAGCTTTCACACCCTGGGTTCAACCCGCTGTGGATTTTTTTTCAAGCCAGATGGTTGTTGGTCTTCAAAGGTTAAAGGAAGAACTGTCTGTTTCCTCTGTCCCTAGACACCCACTCTAATTTATAAGAGTTCACGCTGAACCACCTCCTGGTTCAGGTTTATGTTCTGGAGGAGGCAGGGAGATGGAAAAGGCATGTCAGGCACAGAAACGGGTCCCAGCTGATTCTCTGTCTTAAGCATTTTGACATCAGGGTCCTGTCTCGGTTTATTAGCAAACAGTTTGCCCACCAAATGGGAGCTGGGGGTGTCAGAGTGTTACC